CAAAGTTTATCGTGGTCAAGGTTTAGCATTAGAAGATTTTGAAAAAATGAAAAAAAGCATAGATCAATTAATGTCTTTCAATAATTTTCTATCAACAAGTCTCAATCAAAATATTTCCTTTGAAAACTTTGCACGACCAGCAGCATTTAATGATCCCAATAAAGTTGGCATACTCTTCATTATGACTATTGATCCCGATGTATGTACAAAATCAAAAATTCCATTTGCTGATGTTAGTCAAGTTAGCTTTTTCGAAGACCAAGAAGCCGAAATTCTTTTTACAACACATACAATATTTCGAATCGATCAAATTCAACGAATTCATGACGATCATACTGATCGTCTATGGGAAGTTCATCTTACCCTTGTGGGTAATGACAACCACGAGCTAAATACACTTACAGCACACGTACGCGAAGAGATCAACTTGAAAGCACCAATACGAGGATGGTCTCAACTAGCTTTTATACTCATTAAAGTGGGTGAGCCTGCAAAGGCTAAAAAACTCTACAAAATACTTCTCCAAAAGGCAACTTCGGATGAAGAGAGATCAGATTACTATCATAAACTTGGTTGGGCATATGATGACATGGGCGAGTATTCGAAAGCACTTTCATCGTATGAACAATCACTTGAAATCAAAAAAATAGCTCTCCCTCCGAATCATCCCTCCTTGGCTACTTCCTACAACAACATCGCTTCAGTGTATAATAATATGGGCGAGTACTTGAAAGCACTTTCATCGTATGAACAATCACTTGAAATCCGGAAAATAGCTCTCCCTCCAAATCATCCCAACATCGCTCAATCCTACAACAACATCGGTTCGGTGTATTATAGCATTGGGGAGTACTCGAAAGCACTTTCATCTCACGAACGAGCACTTGAAATCAAAAAAATAGCTCTCCCTCCGAATCATCCCGACTTGGCTTCTTCCTACAACAACATCGGTATGGTGTATGATGAAATGGGCGAGTACTCGAAAGCACTTTCATCGTACGAACGAGCACTTGATATCGACAAGAAAGTTCTCCCTCCGAATCATCCCGATTTGGCTTCTGACTACCTCAACATCGGTAATGTGTATGATAACATGGGCGAGTACTCGAAAGCACTTTCATCGTACGAACGATCACTTGAAATCCACAAAATAGCTCTTCCTCCGAATCATCCCGATATGGCTTCTGACTACAACAACATCGGTATGGTGTATGATGAAACGGGCGAGTACTCGAAAGCACTTTCATCGTATGAACGATCACTTGAAATCCGAAAAATAGCTCTCCCTCCGAATCATCCAGACTTGGCTGCTTCCTACAACAACATCGGTAATGTGTATAATAACATGGACGAGTACTCGAAAGCACTTACATCGCACGAACGATCACTTGAAATCAAAAAAACAGCTCTCCCTCCAAATCATCCCGACTTGGCTATTTCCTACAACAACATCGGTTCGTTGTATGATAACATGGGCGAGTACTCGAAATCACTTTCATATTACGAAAAAGCGCTACAAATCAAGAAGATTGCTCTTCCTTCAGCACATCCAAGTACTGCACTTACGGAAAGAAACATTGAACGTGTAAAAAAGAAAATGTAATTGTTTTTTTTAAACAAGAAAATACATTGGCCTTCTTGAAAACGTTTGGCTCGCCGAAGCGCACCACCTGCAAAAATTTCGCGCACGCGCGACCAGGGATACGCTCCGTATCCTGTTGGGTTGTGCAGTGGACAAAGCCGGCAATGATAAGACAAACATACATTTATGTATGTATGACTAGTACATCCATGATCATTATCTTCGGAAAGACGATGATCAGATGGATGCTTCTAGTCATACATACATAGATGTATGTTATAAAGGCCTATCATCTACACGCCTGTACAGGTTACCAACAGAACGTCGGATATCCCTGGGAAGGTTCATTTTGTTTTAGAGCCACCCTCAAAAGCTCCGTTTGATTTAAATTTTTTTTTTCTTCTGTTACGAAGAACGAGACGAAACAGAGAAACGCGAAGAAAGACGACGTCGATGGAATTGTAACACACGCAGCGTATGATGACAACCGGTTGTTTTGACATATGTTGCGATATTGAGTGCACGATATCTATGTGATCTTTACACATGTTATATTCAATTTATTTTTCTTGTCATCTTGAATGTGTAAGAACAAATGGGATGTCGTGCACTCAATATCATGATATAAGAGTGATGATTGAACGAAAGAAGAACACAAAAAAAAATTATCGACTATTCTCTTTGATTAGTGACACACGCATATATAAGAGATACTTGAAAGAAGAAAATGAAAAAAGAATTTTTACAAATTTAATGATTTTTGTTACTTATTACATAACGTTTTACAAAAATATTATTTTACGATCATACTGATTGAATATAATATAATAAAACAGAAGTTCAAATAGATCAAGTGCAGTAATTAATTTTTTTTAAATAATAATTTACAGTCAAAATTATGGATCTAATATAAAGATTTGTAGAATAGTTTTTCGTTCATCGATTGATGAAAGTGAATATTCAATCGACGTTAGACTTTTTCCGTCAACTATTCATTCATTTATTATGATTATCAAAAAATGTTTAAACTTATTTAGCTTTAAAATAAATGAATTGAATATAAAATAAACAAAATGGATAAACTAAGTAAATCACTTGAAGTTTTAAAATTATTTTCAACAACAACATGTTATCGAAAGTTTTTTTTGATCTAGAGATAAAGATGAAAATAATTCTAAATCAGTTACGACTATTGTAAAAGTATTATAAAAGAAATTCTTTTTTTTTAATAATTTTGTATGAATTATAATAAAGGATTATAAAAGATAATCCTAATGTTGAATAAAAAGCATTCAAAGGTTTATTTTAGTTCAATTTCAATTAGATGTTCTATGGCTATTTGACGAATCAGCAATTGCAATACATTCGAAAAAGATTCAACCATTTTATCAGAATATAATGAACTTATTTTTTACATTCTTGGTTGATCAATTAATGATGAAAAAATCAAAGTAAGTAAAAAAGAAAATTCTTGTCATCTAAGAAACCTCTCCTAAAGAAGTAATCAGAAAAAAGTTATGCGATTGAATAGAAACATAGAAAATGATTGTAGAATAGGTAGTCTCATACTATTCGACGAAATACCGATTGAGAAACTGTCCATCATTTGCAGTAAGAATTATAAAATTTTATTTATCATTAAATATCAATGAGAAATGAAATAAATTAGTCATAGTTGATTCACTAACAATCGTTATAGTTAAGGTATGAAGTCGAGTGAGATTGAATTTTTCTTTTTTTTTCCTAATATTAATAATAAATTATTTTCAGGAACCTCTCATGTCCTATTCAGTCAATATATTATCCTATGATTATAGCACGTTTTCTAATGATAAATGTAATTGGTAAGTTTTCTTTCAAATAATTATTTCAATTAATTATAATTTGTCTTTTATTTTAACAGATCAATTATTTGAGCATTATAATCAAAATCATAGTACAAATTTTAATAATTGGTTATCTTAAATTAAATATCAAAAAATTTCAATCATCATCAAGAAAAAGTCAACGATCAATAACAAGAACTAGAAATATTGGTACAAATGAACAACATCTTTCAATCAGTATTTGACAAATAATGAATGATTTTATTTTCTATGTAAATATTTATTTTTTAATGTGTTGATATGATATTTTATATTTGTTTACAACATAAAAGATCATAATGTAATATGAAATTCATTGGAAACACATGAAATTATATTTAAATTTATTTGATTTTGATCAATTATTAATTTCAATTTAAATTGGATCTATAGAAGTAACTTGTATTAGTCACACATTAAACACAGGTAAATATTGTGAAAAGAGAACAACAAGTTTTTTTTTCTAAAGTAATAGATTATTCAACATATCAACGTTGATTTATTGAAATGAATAAACAACACGATATTTTAGTATATAAAATGAATGATGAATTATATTCAAAATCAATGATTAATAATGAAAAACAAACATCAGTTGCTAAACTTGTTAATCAATTATGTTTTTTTTTCCAATTAGACATTTGCTCAATGTGTTAATAATTTGATTATCCAACTGTAAGTATGTTTAATGCTTGTTTGAGACTTTTTTTTTGTAAAGTTCCAGTTCAGTAAAATACATTTATTTTATAATCCAAAATTATTTCCAATGTTGTAACAGTAGGAGAACTCAGATGAATAGGATAAATCTGAGCAAGGAGCTTGTAACAGAGTTTAGTTAACGTGACTTCAATTGGTTATGGTCTCAAAGTTTTAGTGAAAGTTATCTGATAGATATGAAGATTTTACTGTTGAATTGTTGAAACAAAACAATATGAAATTTTAATCTTTTTAAAACCAACAAAAGACTAGAATATTATCAGACTCGAAAATATATCAAGTAGAACACGTTACTAAGTAGGTTAGACATACAAAAGTTTTAGAGTGTTTATATATCAGAGATTGAAATTATACAATCACATAATTACCTCAAAAACAAAGTTTGAAGCTAAAGTACGAGTTCTGTACATATCTAGTACGAAAGACATGTTCGGTTTTTCATTATGATATGAAATCAATTGTATTCTCGAATGAGTTTTTCTTTAATCTTTGAAGATTTCTGATTAAATAAAAATTTTCTAATTGATATGAAATTCTTAACTCTATATGACTTGTAATACATTAAAATCTATCGAACATCAAGGTAGACGATCTACATTTATGTGATACATATGCAAATTTCTTTCCTTGCTACATTAATTAAAAAGAACAATTCATCTTTGAAGACTATTATCATTATTAAACTCATTTAATAATTCTTTTATTAATGAATATTCATTTGTATCAATTAATTCACAAGGTAGTTCAAGATTAGATTAGAATATTAAATCGTCTCTTGTTTTTGATAAAAATATTTTTTCTTTTTGTTTTTAAATATATTCAATTAGGTATATTAGCAGAATTACTTTCTACATTTCGATTATGTCTTTAGGATAATAACACACATGTTATACATTTACAATCATAGGAATTGAATTATTAGAAGATTCTACTCAACATAGTACAAGTTCTTATATTCTTGCTAAAGTAGACAAATGAAACTTATGATTACAATAAACTGTTTATGTGTATAAAATAGGTTGTTCTAGCTCAAATTGTGCGTAATATTGATTTTCTTGAATACTAACTTATCTTGAACAACAACAATAACAGATAAAAAAAACAGTAAATTAACACTAATCACATATAGAAGATAAAAGCAATATCTTGGTTTTTTTTGTTTTACTTTTATTTTTAGAATCGATCATGACTTGATCATTGTAGTGACATTATCTTTCTATTTCTTACTGATAATGATACAAGTTTTCGTCTAGGAGTTACTTTAACTTTTGCTAAGTATGTCAATTGTAGAGACGTTAGTTAACTAGATAGTTTTATTTTCGAAGTTGAATAATGCATCAGTCGATTTTATTGTATTAAGTTAGTTACTAGCTACTTTTTGATTTTAAGGTTTGTTGATCACAATTCATTTTTTTAGTATATCAATGGTCAATACATTATTTACCTAAATGGATCAATTCTTCCTGTCAATGGATGCATAAAATTCATTATTCATTACAATAAACAAATACTTCTGTAATTATATTCAATGGTGGAGTGCAATATGAAACAATATCATGTTTACCAACATTAATATTGGATTGTTTAGCTCAAACACCCACTCGAATATAAATTGTTTGTTATTTTTGGCTTTTATATAAGTTGGATGTTTAGAAGGTATTTATGCTCTTTCAAATGTTTTAGGATCAACAACAATTTGATCATTTTTTTTTCATAATCAATATGATGAACTTTGTTTAGTTATACATCTATTTATATGAAATGATCTTAATAATTTACAATTATTACTCGATAATAATAATTTAATTTTTTGAAGATTTATCAAATCTTAACAAATGAAAAAATGCTTTTAAAGTAGCACAAATGATTCAAGTTATTCAAAAATTGAATTATTTTATTAATGTTCTTGAACTATTGCAAAAAACTTCACAATCATCATTTTTGTTGGGCAGAAGATCATTTTCTATAATTGATATTTCAGCTTTCGTAGAAGAAAGGAGTTCTAAAGTTTTAGGTTTGAAGAATGTATTGGATCATGTCTTGTCTGAATGAATTCATTTGTGTATTTGTTTTAGAGAATGATAAAGATTCATCAATAATATCAAACACAAATAAAGATACAAAAGTTAATTTTGAACGATTACTTTCGACAACATTATTTTCTATAAAATCAGTAGTAAGTCTTATTTCTACATAAGATTTATTAAAAAATTTGGAAGAAACACTTAACTATTTTAAATCAACGTTCAATGTACAAAAGAGGTAAAACTTCTTTTAAATAGTACATATTACTTAGAAAATTTCAGTTATTAATCTTCTTCTACTAATCGTTTGAGCTAAAACCTTTAGGATGTCGTATTGGGTCTGAACCAGAGACTGACTGGCAGGGCAAAAACGTTTATCCTATGCCAAAAAAATTTAAAAAAAAGCCTAATTTCAGTTTAGTTTTTCTGATTAAACAATCAATTAAAATGCGAATGTTTTTAGTCGATTTTAATCTAATTATTTCATCTTCAATTCATTTTGATTGTCATTTCACAAATAATTTTGAATGAATTAAAACTTGCTTATAAAATGGAGTTGATTAGAAATGTAATCGAGTTTTTTTTTCTGCTACATGTCTTAAGAAATTTGAATATGAACTAACTACTTCCTTAAAAATTTGATGAACACAGAAAAAACTACAAGAAAGAAAAGTTGCCTTTCATTCAGAAGACCTAATTTTAATCGATGAAATTAAAAGATGGTCGATTTTTATCAAACACAAGTCAAGAATAGAAGATCATATTTTATGTTAGAAGATCACGACGCACTAAAAAAATTTCATAAAGCATAACAGAAGACATATGAGTTCTGTAAAATTTTATGTCGAAAATTCTGCTGACTTTATGAAATTCAGCACAACGAAACTTTGTTTTTCAGTTACAAGTTTATTTTTGCATTATAGGAAAGAATAAGTATGAACAAAAATAAATCTTTATATTTATAAAATGAAGATAGATGAATTATTTATTTTTGAAAATTAAAGAATAAAGAAAGATTTGTTCTGTTATAGACAAATAAACAAATGCATAGTATAACAACTGGATATGTGAAGCAATATGCTTTCTTGCCATGAATATCACTTCGACATGTCATATCATTAGAAAATCAAGCGAATACATGAAACAATTTCCATCTATGGTGTCGCACCTTTTTAGTGAGCTACTTGGTGAAAAATTAAAGATGAAATTCTCATAGAAGAGGTTTCTTCATTATTTATTTTTTGTTTTCTTTACTCTATATAAAGGTGGTAAATAAGAAAAAAAACTATATTTTTATTTTGTAAATATGAAGATTTCATTTATCTTAATTTTTTTTTATTTTTATTTTTGGAAAAATAAAAAAAACTTTAATCTTGATTTAAAAAATATAAAAAAATTATTGATGTTTATTGTATTAATATAAAAATTGTACTTATATTTATAAAATAAAGTAAAGAAAATGTGACCCTAGTAAAAGATAAATGTTGTTTTGCAACTAAAATTACTTTCTTCTTTTTTGTAGGATGGGGCTTAGTCACTAAAAGTACCTGAGAATATCATTATTTTATTGAAACTTAAAATCTTGCAATAGACATACTCACTTTATAAGTATTATTCTACTCTGTCTACGCCCTATGTCCAGTTCTTAGGGCAGGTCAAGAAAAGAAATACTCTGTGATAGCCTCTTATCCAAAACTTGTCTGTGGACAGAATTTTGGATGGAAATCTTATAATCAAGATTTCAGGAATGGTCTAATCCAGAAAAAGAAAATTTCAATATAAGAATATCATAGTAACAGAAAAACTGATTTTGCAAATATTGACGATTTTAATGAGAGAATAGTTTATTGTGAAAGTGCCACATCTTTTCATTTGGTTCTCTCTTGAAATTCGAAATTTGAAAATTATTTTTTTCTGTTAACACAATATTCATTTGAAAATATTCTTTTAATTTAGTTTTCATTAAACCTATACTAATTAGCAATCGTTTCATCATCATCTGCTGAAACAAAATATTCAATTGTTATCTCACAAGTACCAATAAATAAGTCTTTAAATAATATTCATACAATAACTATTCGACAACTGATTATTTATTTGATTTGGTTCACGTTATATATCAAATATAAATAGTGATCAATCCATGGAATATAGTGTAATGCGAGAGTAATATAAACAAAAAAAAACGAATTTGATCTATTCTGTTTTTTTTTGTTTTCTATTTCAGTTTGTATTGAACTCGATTTACTTGTTTAATTACTTTTAATTCGTGTTAATTATAGTTGATTAAATGCTGATGAATCTTCGTTATATTTTTAATCTTTTCGTTTATTTTTTAAACAGCATTTTCTTACTCATATAATCTATCAACTGGAAATGATTAAAGAAACTATGCCAGATTATGATATATCATCACATTTTATTTATAGCATTGCTAAATTCCTTGTTATGTTATCACATGATACACTTCATTCAAAACAAGTTATTTAAATACAAGATTTAATAAAACATTGTGATTAATTATTAGCAAGCGAACATGAACTTGAAACACATGGTAGGAAGTAAAAACAAAAAAAATATTTTCGAGAAAAATAAGTTATCGTTAAAATTCTTTATTTAGCTTTAGCAGCATTAGAACCAGTTGTATATGATTTATTTCTTGTTGAAACCTTACTTGAACTTGTTCGATATAATAAAGTAATGTGATATTGTAAGAAATAGTCCCGATTCGAATAATTAAAATTCCTAAAACGTTTTATTAAATGAGAGTGAACAAAACATGTTCTTCCATCAGGTCTCAAACATCGTAGAAACTCGAAAATATGTATAGGTGTAATTTTTCTTCTCAATTGAATCCACACCCACAGTTCAACGAATAAATGATCTGAAAATAACTATATTGTTGATGCCGAGAACTCGACAATATTTGAAGATAGCAATCTTCGGTTGTGTATTTTATAAAATATATGATAATAAAAAGTTTACAGGAAAACTAGACGTCTTAATTATTGTAGATAAAAGCATCTTTTCATATCATCTGTATGTACGAAACAAAGTAATAATAGAATTTATATTTTTATAGACTTTGCAATTTTTAACAATAATTATTGATAGTGTTCTAAATGAAAGTGATAAATAGAAATGTTTTTCACGACTAATTTTCGATGTAACAATTTAAGCATGCTAGTTTTGTAGCTCTCATCGAGTTGTGTAGAAAACGGTATTCAGTTTTGATTCAAGTTATGCGCTAACAACAGCAGAGCAGCTCCAAAAGTCGATTTTATGAGAAAATGGCCCCCGAAATCGGTCTGTTTTATTCTTCATGGGTGTTCCTTTGAAATTTTTGATTCCGCCATTGGATAGAGCATAAAAAGTTGTCTATATAAAATAATTTTCAGAATTGTGTCTCTAGAACTGATTGCTTGGGAACATTTACAAATTTGAGAAAAATGGCACTTTATGCTTAAAATTGAACTGCTTATAAAATTTATACATTCAGTTAGAGACCCAAATATATTATAACCAAAATGAAGTTTATACTATTCTTATTCAAACGCACTATGGCAAGTTTCTTCAAAGCATTCTAAGCTCCAGATAAAGGGATCTAAAGGGGATGAGGGTCCCAAAAATCGTGATGTTGGGAATCGGTTTTCTCAAAACCTACATGTCAGAATTTCTTGAAATTTTTTTTTGAATAGATCTAAGTGGACTCTATTAGTGTTTCAAATATTAGACTTTCTATTTCAGAATTGTAGGAGATAGAGCTCTTCCAAGTTAGCTTAAATTTCAGTACTTTTCAAAAGATCCCTGTGGAGGACCTCAGCTAGTCGAAAACTCGAATTTTCGAATTTTGACTCGAAACTTTGCGTATATAGAGGTCTCTACTAGACGAGCTTGCACATCAAAATTCAGAAGTTTCAAACAAAGTTTTTCCAAGGTATGGACCTCCTGCCATATAAGTCCTTTTTTAAAGATGAAGCTTCATATCTTGACGAGACTTGGTTCAAAACTTCTGAATTTTACTGTACAAGCTAGTCTAGCTGAGGCCTCTGTATACGCAAAGTTTCGGGTCAAAATTCGAAAATTCAATTTCTACGCCTATCCGGGGTTCCCCACAGGGATTTCTTGAAAAACACCGAAATTTGGGCTAACTTAGAAGAGCACCATCTGCTACAATGCTGAAATGGGAAGTCTAATATTTTAATCACTAGTAGTGTTCACTTAGGTCTATTCGGGAAAAAAATTTCAAGAAATTCTGACGTGTAATTTTTTAGAAAACCGAGGCCCAATGTGAGGTTTTTTAAGACCTGTTGAACCTTCGGATCCATCTATCTGAAGCAATGAAAATTTTCAAAAACTCCAGCATATCACGTTTGAATAAGCATAATATAAGCTTCATTTGAATCATAATATGTTAGGGTCTTTAGCTGACTGTATAAATTTTATAAACATTACAATTTTAGCATGAAGTCCCATTTTTCTCAATTTTGTAAATGCTTCCAAACAATAAGTTCTTGAGATATTGTTTTGAAAATTGTTTTATATAGACAACTTTTTATGCTCTATCCAATGATGAAATCGAAATTTCTAAAGAATGTTCACATAAAATAAAACAGACTGATTTTGGCGGTCAATTTTCGGTAAAAACGACTTTTTAGCCTGCTCTATTGAAGTTAGCGCACTATTTGAATCAAAACTGAATATCAATTCTTACATAACTCGACGAGGGCTACAAAACTAGCATAGTGAAACCTTGCCGGCAGAAAGTCGATGTAAAAGTGGGAGGATCTGCGTGGAAACACCCATAACCTAAAAAATTCTATGATTTAAACTCAATAGACTATTCAATTTCTGAAACCTTTTGACAAAGGATTAATCCACTATTGTGTAAACGATCATATTCAATAATTTGTTTTGCTATTCGTTAGGGAGACCAACAATTGGCCGAATGATAATTAATCGAACGACAATTAGTCCTACAAGAAATTTGACCGCAGGCTTATGGATAGCTAAAAGAGGATTGATTAATTAAATCTTTTGTGATTTGATTGATTAATCAAGACACACTAATGTACATCTAAATTTTAGCGAATTTGAGTACATAACTGATAGAATTACGGATGAATATTTAGTGAGAATGTGAACATTGTCGACAAATTGAATGCAACGGAAAAGTACATATCGATGTTACTTTTACTGTTATTTTTTGCATAACTGGATGAAATATCATAGCAGAAATACTCGGAATACTGAGATTTTCAACATACACATTAGGACAATATATCCTAGGAGTAGAAGATGTAAAGTGGTTTAATGCATTGTAATAATTGAACTAAATCTGCTAAACATCTTCGACTATGACATATAGTTTCTCGTTGCCTATTGTGTTGGTTTTACGACATCTCTTAGGATAGTCAAAAATTTGTGGTTGTACTCAACTTCGTCATACTTGACTTCCTATTATTTTACTCAGTATGTTGTTACTATATGTGTTTAATCTCTTTCTTATTGAACGGGTTTTTTTGTTACTCAGTCTTACATATACGACTAAATTTCTTGTGCAACTAATTGTCGTAGACCTATTCAAGTAGTATGGTGTTATCGACTTGTGCAATTCACAATGTGTTTGGTTGTATCAACAATCCAATTTTCGATTCTCCAACGTATACATGACTCAAACATAGAACAAAAATACAACTCTCTACATAAAAAAAGAATGATTTTTTTCATAAGCTATTGTATTTATCACTAACTATATTATCACATCACAACTTTTTTTAATCTTTACTCTTAACTAACAAATGGTTATGTTCTTCTCGTGGGTTGTTTTTCATAACAACATATGCAAGAATGAAAAAAGCATATCTATCAATAACAAGAAGAAAAAAGTATACAAATAATAAGAGAAAAATATGGGCAAGAAGTACACATCATTAAGTATTTACACACATAGTAAAAAATGATTAATAAAATAAATTCTGTAAGTCATCCTCCTGGGTTAAATCAAATGATGATGACGAGTTGTTGAGCCAATTTTAAATTCGAATATATTTCGATTCATTAAAATCATCATGATTAATGAATTCAAGTATCAATCTTGGTTCTGGAATAGATGAAGATGCTGATTCACCATCATCATGTGAATCATTATTTTCATTTTGAATAACATTTGGGTGTGGGTAGTGTGGGTGTGAATGTGGGGGTGTCGGTAGATGTGGGTGGATGCGTGTGGATGTGGATGTGGGTGTGTGAAAAGAAGATTCACACCCACACCCGCTCACACTCACGTCCACACCCATCCACACTCACACCCACACCCATCCCTCTTTTCGTTCCTTATTCCATCCATTAGTTTGATAGAAAAAGATTGAGTTTTTTATTGGAATAAGTAAAGACTTAAAATATAAATTAAATTAAATATTAATTTAGTTAAAAGAAATTTAATTACTTCTGCAACGATATTCCATTCAATTTTACCTAACCATGAACTATTTCTAAATTAATTTAATAGTTTATGTTTAACAAAACACATATTTAAGTAATTTTGGTATCTATTGTACCTTTTTTTGAAAAACTGACTGAAAAAAAATAACCGGCTGCACTTAAAAGCGTCATCATTTGATAGATAATACTTTGAAGTATTAGAAAAATTAGTTTTGCAAACTACCACTCTGTTCTTTTGTTTGATTTAGAGATCGAAAGATCTTTAGGAACTTATTAAGGGAATCCTCTGCAGAAACTATTTCCTACTTGGGATAGTTCATTTGGACTGAAATTTTCATGGATGACTGATTCTGGTGAGCTACGCTTTTGGTAGAAATTTCAGCCCTATAAGTCGTATTACATTGGAGCTTCAACTGATTCATAACCCATTTTGGAATTGAAATAATTCCATCGCAGCATGTGCTAGAGAGCTCGAGCTGGTTTCAAATTAAAGCGAATGCCAGTGTGCAACTTTTGTCCGACCAGAATTTTGAAATTCAATATCATTCTTTTTTTTTGAGCATTTGGTGACATGATCTGAAAATCAGCATAAAAAATTGTGGTTCAACGGACGGTAAGTCCTACTTTTCTCAGCCCAGGAATCAACTATAGAAAAATTCGTTCAGATAAAAGTTTACTCTCATTGAGACG